CGCTCGAATCTAGATTACATTATCCGTCTTGCGAAGACTTTATCATCACACGTGAATACGACGTGACTAACGCGAATGAGAGCGTTTGTACTGTAGCAATCTTCCTTGTCACAGAACTGGATCGTACTTCCCACTGTGTAATGTGTATTCTGCTCTGTGAGGTATTTGGATCCTAATAATGAGAGACGATGCTGGGATGACGAGTTCTCGAAGGATCGCGTGCGTGTGCATGAGATAACGCTGCGAACCATGCATCGTCTCCCGCAGATCGCGCTTGATCTTCAATCCAAATATCCCTACACCATCCCACAATAACCCTCTACAAATCTACTTGACCCATCTCCCAATCGCCCATTATCACCCATCTAAGCGCTCACCTGCTGGATGATGTCGGCATTGGCCCGCCGCCAACACCAAGATGCGCCCATTTCCCATTTGGGTCTATGACCTCACGTGCCGAGCTCCGCGGACGCGTTGAACAAAACTCGTCTCAGAGGGAAAGCTTGTTCCGCCCGACAGCGTTCTACTAGCCCCAGGACCCAGGTTTACATATACCCCCTTGATAAGAATGTCCCGCCCCCACCAAGTTCATACTCCGATCATTCCCCAGCCTTTTATTCTGCCCCCTTTCAAACGCCTGTCTGCCATCGTTGGACACGGATAAGGTGAGGGAAACTCAGGTTACGGGTTTCGTGTGCTCAGTATACAGCTATAGGCAGCCATGCATGTGCTCAAGCGGACGAGAACGGGGTTCATCGCGCAATGCCAGCGACAGCACCAGAAACCAGGCTCACTCGCCCTACGACCCTACCACGACGAATCGTTCGGCTACCGCAAGCCCCACGAATTCGTTTTCCCAGACTGCAAGTCCCCTTCCGCTACACAAACCATCTCCCAACTGACAGACAACACGCCGTGCTACCAGATACGCCTGCACAGCTAGAGAACAGAGCGGCGAATGCGAATTTACTGCGCTATGTGGACAGCATGCGTGTGCATGGCCACCGCGCTGCTAGGATCGACCCGCTGGACCTTATACACCGCGAAGAGGTGGCGGCGCTTGATCCGAGCCGGTACGCACTGGCACTCGGTGCGAAGGAGCAGTACGATGTGGACGGCATCGTCTGGACGCGTCCCGTCGGACAGGCCAGCGCAGGCCAGGATCTATGGACCCTCGAAGACATCGTCTCGCGACTGCGTGGCGTCTACGTCGGGCGCATCGGCTACGAGGTGCGTCTTAGAACCATTTCATTTCAACCCCCTAGTGCCGGCTTCTAATGCGCCTGCACAGTACATGCACTCGACAAGCAAGACCGAACGGCTGTGGTTCTCCCATCTGCTCGAATCGCAGTCGTTGCCTGGACGCGAGGATAGCACCCACGCCCTCGCGCCGATGACGGACGAGACGCGGAAGCGCATACACGAGCTCTTGGCGCGCAGCGAGGTGTTTGACAACTTTTTGCAGGCCAAGTTTCCGAACCTCAAGCGGGTGCGTTGCTTTCTCCTCAGCTTACTTTACCCGGCGATCCATACTGACGTGGGGGCACTTTTAGTACGGCCTTGAAGGTGGGGAGTCCATGTTACCTGCGCTGGATGCGCTTTTCGGGTCTGCAGCCCTCAGCGGCGTGCGGCATGCTATCCTCGGTAGGTCTTTCTTCTCTAGAAAAGTACCCCCTACTGTGCATGGAACTGACCCATTAAACCTAATTACCAGCAATGCCACACAGAGGCCGCCTGAACCTCCTCACGGACCTCCTGCGTTACCCGCCCTCTGCGCTCTTCCACAAGATCAAAGGCGGCTCCGAGTTGCCAGAGGGCTATGGGGCGGAGGGCGATGTGCTCAGTCATCTCGGTGCGTTTGCTTGTTCTACGAACCGGATCATGATTTGACTGACGCGGGTGTTAGTGTCCTCGCCTGTCATCGAATATGGAGACGGAAGGGGGATTAAGGTCTCTTTACAGCCTAATCCTTCGCATCTAGGTGCGTTTGCCATCTCCTTCTGCCTCCTTTTTACCCTTTTTCTGATGTTATTGTGTAATATGCTTAGAGGCCGCCAACCCCGTTGCGCTAGGCAAGACGCGCGCAAAGCAGTTTGCACTCCTCAAGGACTCGCCGGGGGATTGTAAGCTTGGAGACCGGGTGATGTGCGTGCAGCTGCATGGGGATGCAAGTTTTATTGGGCAGGGTGTTGTGATGGAGGGGCTTGGGATGAGTGAGTCTTTTGTTTCTGGGTGGGTATTAGGTGGGCTGATGGACCATATGATAGGCAACTTGCCGCATTTTACGAGTGGAGGGAGTGTGCATTTGGTTGTCGAGTGAGTGGGGGTTTCGGATATACCTGTGGTTTTCTGGCCATTTGCTGATCGTTTGTTTTGCAGTAACAAGTGGGTTTACGAGTCTATTTCTTGGGCTCGCTTACCATGAAGTTGTGCTGATGGTGTGCGTAGTATTGGGTATACCACCCCTGCGTCGGGTGCGCGTTCGAGCATGTATTGCTCGGATGTGGGTAAGATGATCAATGCACCTGTTTTGCATGTTAATGGGGATCATCCTGAAGGTTAGTTTGATTGACATCTTGTTTGTTCGTTTTCTTTTGGCTAATACTGTACTTCATAGATGTCGCGAGGGCTATGGAAGTAGCGTTTAGGTATCGGGATTACTTTAGGAAGGTCAGGACTCTGTGATCACATTCCAAGTGCGATCCGGTGCTGATGTATTGCGCTTGTTTAGGACATTATTGTGGATTTGCTGGTCTATCGTCGTTGGGGGTGAGTTTTCTTGCGCTGCTACTCGCGCTATCGTGTATGAAAACTGATGGGTGGTACTTGGGTAGACATAACGAGTTGGATTTGCCGGGGATTACGAGTCCACTTATGTATGAGAAGATTGCTGTGCGGAAGAGCGTGCCGCAGTTGTACGAGGAGAAGCTGTTGGTGCGTACATGTCCTCTCCTTATTTCCCATCCAAGCCACCACATGCTAATCGTCTTAATTTGCATGTAGACCGAAGGCGTCCTCACGCCTGCTGATATCGCCCAAGTACGGGGAGACTACAAAGCGCACCTTGAAGCTGAGCTCGCCAAAGTGAATGTGGCGGCTGGCGGAGGCACGTTTACGCCGTGGTACCCCGAGGTACTAGGTGGCGCGTGGAAGGATGCTGGGATCGTGTGGCCGACGAGTGGCGAGGCTGTGCATTGTCCTGATACGGGCGTTGAGCGGGAGGTGCTCGAGAAGGTGGGAAGGGCGAGTGTTTGTGTGCCTGATGGGTTTGTGAGTTGGTTTTACTGTTGGGATGGGATGGGATGCTGAGCGCGTTTGTAGGAAATCCACCCGAAATTGCATCGACATGTGAAGAATAGGTTGCAGAGCATTGAGAAGGGTGCGGGGATCGATTGGGCTACTGCCGAGGTTCGTTTCCCTCCCGTTTCCTTCCGCAGCTAAGGTTGATCGATGTTATGGGGTGTTGTGCTAGGCAATGGCACTTGGGACGCTCATGTTGGAGGGTAATGATGTGAGGATTTCGGGACAGGATGTGGGGAGGGGAACGTTTAGTCATCGGCATGCGATGCTTGTGAACCAGAAGACGGAGGGTGTGATTGTGCCGTTGAATGATGAGCTTGGGGCGGATGGGAAACTGGAGCTTGCGAATAGTGCGTTTTTGGTTTTTTGTTTGTGGGTGGTGCAGGGCTGATGGGTTGTGTTGGGGTAGGTTCGTTGAGCGAGATGGGTGTCCTTGGGGTATGTTTTGGTTTTGCGAGAGGGATGTGAGGTGCTGATTGGTCTTTTCAGTTTGAGTATGGTGTCAGTTGGGAACGTCCTTCGTTGCTTCCCATTTGGGAGGCCCAGGTCTGTGTCCAACCCGCCTACCCATTGTCAACTGTTGCTGATATTATCTCTTGGGTGTAGTTTGGGGATTTCTTCAATGGGGCGCAGATCATCATTGATACATACATTTCCTCTGCTGAAAGTACGCGTTCCCCTCTTACCTTTTCTCTCTTCAGTCCGCTGAGCGAATTCTCCGCAGCCAAGTGGTTAAGACAAAGTGGACTTGTGATGATGCTCCCACATGGACTGGACGGGGCCGGTCCTGAGCATTCTTCATCCCGGATCGAGCGGATGCTGCAGCTTACCAATGATCGGTATACGCTCCAAGAGGCACAGGAGGAAGGGGCGGAGGGTGGGGTGAACATGCATGTTGTGTATCCCACCACGCCTGCGCAGTATTTCCATCTGTTGAGGAGGCAGATGAGGAGGAACTATAGGAAGCCGCTTGTCATTGCCGGACCCAAGGGGCTTCTTCGGCTTTCGGTGAGTGATTTCACGTTGTGTGGGACGGGTGGATGGGTGCTGATGGTAGTGATTTATGACTGGGAATAGGCCGCGTCGTCGAGTCTGAGCGAGTTTGAGCCGGGGACGCAGTTCCAACCTGTCCTTGACGATCCGGCCGTGCGGGATAAAGCGGGTGTGAAGCGGGTGTTGCTCGTCAGCGGCAAGATCTACTACGAGCTGGTGAAGGAGCGTCAGGCGCGTGGGCTATCGGCGGATGAGGTGGTGATTGTGCGTGTGGAAGAGCTGGCGCCGTTTCCGTTTGGGCGGGTGTTGGAGGTGTTGGGTGGGTATCAAGGCGGGGTGGATGTTGTGTGGGTGCAGGAGGAGGGGAGAAATCAGGGGGGGTATGGGCATGTTAAGGATAGGGTTGGGGATGTGTTGGGGTGTTTGGGGTGGGGTGGTGGGGTGAGGTACTGGGGGAGGAGGGAGAGTGCGGTTCCGGCGCCTGGGATTGGGAGGTTGTATCAGGAGCAGCAGAGGGAGGTTTTGGAGGGTGCGTTTAGGGGTCTGTAGAGTTGTGTTGTTGTGTTGTTGGTTTGGGCAATTGGATTTATTTGTGTTTTGGTCGGTATTGGTTTGGTGATATTCTGGACTGGGTCGGGTTTGAACGTTGAAAGTTGATACTCGGTGGGGTGCCGGGGAATCAGCCGGCGGGTGCTGGGATGAGGGAAGGCGCTATAGCCAAGTGGTTACGGCGACAGATTAGAATTTGGGTTTCGCTTTGTGTGTTGCGTTTATATCATCTGTTCCTCTTTGAGGGCGCAGGTTCGAGTCCTGCTGGCGTCGATATGTTATGGTCTTTTGCAAATCTGTTTAGGCTTTTTACTTTTTCTAAGTATGTGTGTGATCACTGCCAACTGTCCACTGTTTGAGTGCTAGAATCCTGTTGACTCCTGATTGTGCTCGCATTGGGGCTGTGGCCCTTGCAGCCCTCATTTGTACAAGACATTGAAAAGGTGACCATGTACCTAATGGCGGTGAGAAGCTGCCCATGCTCTCTAGGCTAGCGCGTTTTTACGAGTGCACGATGACACATGATTCACGCCGCATCACGCGTCCATCGTGAACTTTTGATGGGTGGACAGAAGAAGCGTTGTCGACGGGTTGGCTGGGTTCCTTTTCAAGGGACCAAGATGTTCCTCCCGCCTCCTGCGTTCTGGGCTCTGAGTCAAAGCAAGGCACGTCTACAGCCAGCCATGGATATGTATAATTAGAGTTGGCTTCGAGCTGTGAATGATTACTATTGGAAGCTTTTGCGAAATCTTGAGCCGTCTTGAGCGCTTAAATGTGTCACTTGACTTGGGGATTCATTCGGCTGGCCTCGTGAGTTCTGAATGACTGTTCTTGATGAAGAGTTCAGTGTGGACCTGCTGTGAGGTGGTGGGCCGACGCATGAGCTTGCGACAGTGTGTTGATAAGGATTAGGATGGTTACTGCTATAAAAAGAATGCTACTCGGTAGACGTTTCTCACAAGACTTGATTAAACTTGTCGCCAACTCGTTTTGTCGAGTAATATGGGCTATTTTGAGAGAACATTGCTTCGGAGAGTACATCGGACATTGGAGAGAGTGTCGGAGTCGAACGAGTTGACTTGCGGTGCTTGAGTGCCACCATCAAGGTTGGGGAGCTGCTGCCTTACCCATCGTCTTTTACTTTTAAAACTTTTTGTTCAAAGTGGTCGTCGTATGGTAGTGAGGTATATTTCTAACGCGATCTATGCCTTTCAGCTGCGAAGAAGAAAAAGTCGGGTAGAGTAGCCAGTCGAAGGCCTTGGGGAGAGTCCGAGCTCAAGCAAGTTGACGCAGAGATCCTTGCCTACCTGGAGAAGATCCGGTAGCTGCGAACCAGACGAAATACACATATGTACCGCCATAGTCAGCTTCTAACCGAACTCCTTGAAAAGATTTCTTTCACTTGTGAGGAACACCTGGACTTGGCCTCCGACACGGACGTAATCGAAGAGTCAAGTTCTCTCAAGCTTGCCGCCAATGGCGATCGATCGCTATCGAATATGCCCGACCTTTGGACCCACATCACCAATACTTCCCCTTGGGCAGAGACTATGCTAAAACGATAACGATCCAAACATCTCCCCATAACCCTCGAGCTGTTCGATAATCATGACCTAACTAGCAGCTTGTTAGAAAAGCAGATTGGAAGTCATGAAATTGGTTTTAATTCCCTCAACTGATGGGTTTCCTCCGATTCCGAATTCGAAGAAAGTCAAGAAAGTAATCGAGTCTATGTGTAAGTATTAGAAGCGGACAATTTATATCCATGTATGCTCCGTCACGCCAAGCTGGAAACAAATCATGAAGTGTTCTTGCAATAACTATGTACGTAACCTGGTTAGTACTATTAGTCTTAGTATTATTAATAGTACTACTTGGTACGTCGTTTATGCAGCATCAATTTAAGGACCTTGAATCGGAACCTTCTCACGGGGATGGTTAGTTGAATTCTTCACGTTCGTTGATTCACGAACCTTGTACTCAAACATCGGCGCATTCAGGTAACATCCGTCCCACACAAAAGAGGCTTCATGCAAACATGCAAATAAGGTGTGTACAAGCATTACGAGACCCAAATTATATCTAACTATTGGGAGTAATTGCAGACAGTCAGCGGAGCAAGTTACGCAAATTGATGCTCAGATTGTTGAGCTGGAACAACTCGTTCGTGGGCTCAAACCCACGAAATATCAACCTTCAGTGGCGTCTCAGCTATCATCCGGAAATGGTATTGGGAAGCATGGCTTCGACAAGTCACACATTCAGGTTTATCACCAAGATGGCCATGTTCAAACCCGACAACGTTCACGACTCGCTCGGATTATTGAGCTGGAAGATCTCATTCGGGGGCTCAAATCCAAGAGAAATCAGCTTTCAGCGACGCATCAGCTACCACCGGAGCTCCTAAGCCGAATCTTCGTCTTCTACAAGCCAGATTTCCAGACCCCTCCTTTAGGTGCTCCAAGGTAGTACAAGATCTCGCACGTCTCACAATACTGGAGGGATGTTGCGCTTGACTGCCCACAAATATGGTCGACAATCCAGTTCATGTCCAAATCATCTCCGTGGACACGACGAATGTTGGAGCTTTCAAGGCGGGTGCCTCTCGATGTGAGCGTTTGGGGCCAAACCTTTTCGTCGTCTACAGAGGATGGAATTCTCCTTCTCCGCTGCTTAAACGACCACGCATTCCGTTTTAACACGCTGTTCATCAAGGGCATCTCGGGCGATATCAAAAAATGGGTATCACGACTGACTACGGCAGCTCCCCTCCTCACGGCCCTACACATCATAAATATGAGCTCCAACATTGGAGCTCTTTTTCCGGCTTGGATTTTTGCCCGAAGCACTCCGCAACTGCGGAAGCTCCAGCTGAACGGGTGCATTCCAGATTGGTCCTCAACCATTTTTTCCAAAGGTTCCCGGATGACATCCCTGAGGGTGGTGTACACCCTTAAGTGGGCTCCTGGGCAAAACCGGCCACCAGCTCTTAAAGCTGTCTTGCAAGCCTTGGGAAACATGCCACAGCTCCTCTATTTGGAACTGGGTATGAACCTAGCGGGATCTTCTTCAGCAAACCGGCGGCCATCCGTTCGTCTGCCAGCCCTTCAAACTCTCAAACTCACGGGGGAAATAAAGGTTTGCTCCGCCATTCTCAGCAGGTTGCAACTTCCGACTTTCGCCAATATCGTGCTGTCCATGTCGCTCAAACCCGTCAGCAATCACTGGTACCTGTCTGCCGCGACCGATCTGGCAATGTCCTGTGTGTCTTCATGGCTCTCCAACCCCCTTGCCAATCCGAACAACACCAACACCGAGCCGCATTACATTCAGTCCCTAAGGGTGCATGCGCAAAAACCGCACCCAACCACGACTCCCGAGACCTTCAAGTTCGAAGCTTGGCTCACGCACGTCTCATTGCCACCACCCACTCGCCATTCTCAGCCCAGCCCTAATTTATCCATTGAGCTGACGAACATCAAAAACACCAAGGGATTCGAAATCTTCAGGGAGCATTTCCTACCAGCACTCCCGTTGGAAAAACTAAAATGTTTGGACATGCACTACAACTTTGGATCCATCCTTCGTCTCAACCCATTTGCAAGCTTTCCCATCGAGGAGCTGTACATCCACGGGCTCGCTGGTCTCGACTGCCTGTCGCAATGCCTGGGTAGCGACCCAGGATTCCCAAATAATCCTCGCCATCCGCCCTCTACCGGACCGACTTCCGTTACCTATTTTTGCGCCCTTCGAACACTTTGTGTGGTCGACATGGGTATCACAGTATTTGATTCGGACTCCCCTGACTGCTGTGTGGACTTTGGTGACGTGCTCAAGTTGCGGCGCAGCCTGGGTTATGGCTTGAAGTCAATCAAGCTGATCGATCGACGCAATTTGCCGGCGAGTGTGGTGGAAAGTTGGAGAGACTTGAAGGTTGCGGATGAAGTCCATTGGGATGGGGTAAGAGAGCTTTGGCACGACGAAATACTTACGTGGGAGTGGGTCGAAGAAGATTATTTATGAAGGCCGTCAAGGTGCTTAGTCTAGATATAAACGCCAGTAAATGTCCCAATTACCGCTAAACAACGTGTTGCGAACTGCTGAGGTGTTACTTGTGGTTGCCTCAACTGGTTTGAGAATGCAGCCAATTTGAGGTAAATCGACATTGAACGTAAGGAGCAGCCGAGAACCTCTAGAGGCCAATCTGCATTTATGTAGTGCGTGGGACAACCACGAGTCTGGCCCTTGTCGGCGTTTCCTCTGACGTTACAGAGTAATCTTTGAGAACCGCGACACATGAAGTGCACCCTATCAGAGTGGAGCGTCACGGCGGCTCCATGGGTGCTGCGCTGAACCACTGGTGAGGAACGGAAAATTTGAATAAACTACTAGACACGCAGATGTAAAGAAAACCTCGGTCTTTGCAACCAGCTAGTCCGAACACCCGAATGGGCGACAGTTTTTCCGATGCCCCGAAACGGCGCCGATGACAGAAAAGCCATTACTAGGCTGACACAAATGGGTGAAAGACCCCAGGGCGTCCTAATAATGAGTAGCTACATTCCCGCTGAGAATCCCAGACTAAGATACTAACCTGACAGGAACATGAGGATGGCGATGTCCCGGTCGATTGTGCAGAGATACGCCGTTTCTCCAAGAAACGGCGAGCGGTCGGTTATCCTTTGAAGACGCTCGTGTTCATTAAATGCGAGAGGCTTGATGAGCGTCCAAAATCCTAATTCAGAGGACTCGTGAGCGTTATTACAACGGAATACGCGTAGGAAGGAGAGTCTGAAGGGCTCTCGGACTGTCGATTAATCAAATTGATATTGATTCACGTTGGATTCACGGACCTCCCAGGCATCGTCGCATTTTGGCAACACCTAAAGATATAAGATGCTTCACGCAGACATGTAAATTAGAAATGTACAAGCTTTACAAGACCCCAAATATCGGGAGCAATCGCAGACAATCAACCAAGTTACAGTTCCAGGAGCAAGTTACGCAAATCGGTGCTCAGATTTTCAAGCTGGAAGAACTCATTCGGGGGCCCCAACTCAGGATAAATCAACCCTTCGATGACATCTCAGTTATCATTGCTGTGTAGCAGTGGCGAGCCACACAAGTGGTGGCTACCGATTCAGATCGAGATACGATATACATACACGGCATACTCTTATGCAGCTCTTGCCGTTCGACTACACTATGATTCTGACCTGGTCATGCCCAATGCTGCGTCTGGATACGTTGCTGGATCTCTGATCAATTGTTCC